TTGTGCTTTAGTCTATGCAAAAATAGTTCAAACATTGGAAAACAGTTAAAAATTTCACGCACCAGCTGAATTCGAAAGCTGAATTCGAAACCTTGAAGGCTAAATATCCTTCCATAATTTCCGATATAATAGTTTAGCCGCCAAAATTTTCAGGAGGCCGTCAGTGACGCAAACACACACAAACACAGACAACTCCGTGACAAAATGCGTTTTATACTGCTGTTACATAGCATAAAACGCATAAAAACTATAGCATACCTGTGGAAAATCGTTAAAAATAAGGATTGTTTCGCAGTTAAAGCAAACTATATTCAAAGCTTGTCGCATTTTCACTATATCTGTACTTTGATCATTTAAATAAACATATGCAAATCGTGCAAATTTCGCATATTTCATTGCCATAAGCATATAGCGAATTCGTGGATCCTCTTTGCTGCCGAAAATTACGACCGAAATCTGCAAATAGTTTACACATATAGCAATTGAGTACCAAAAAGATTAAAGTAATTTTATTAATTTACAAATTTTGTAATTCTCATCTCTTACCTTCCTCTCTGTTCATCCCTTTTCATGCGTTCCTGATATACCTTCCTATTAATATACCTTTTATTACTGGGCCGTACGCGGGAATCATGCATAACGGGGGGTTGAATTTGACAAATTTAAGTTGTAGATGAGTAGGGAACATTTCCTGAAAGTTTCAGCCTCCCAGCTTCCCTGGTTCCCGAGCTAGTGATTTTCGCGCTAGTAGAGAAAAACGTTGAAATTGAAATAAAAAACAATGAGTAATTGAGAGGTAAAAACAAACTCTGTTGAATGTCTTCCACTGATCAACAAAACGCCGTAAACCATCGTGATTTGTAATTTTGATCAGGAATGTATTTGGGATAACATCACGTGCAAATATTCGCAAACCTTTTGCAGAAAGAGCTGTAAAAATCAAATTAACCCAAATTCAACAGATAACTGATAAACATAGAATCAACTGATGGCAGGGGATTTTTATTAAAATTCGGCTCGGCTCGCCGATGTCATATACGATATGCTAATGCTGGGCCGTTACTCGCTCTCGATTGGCGCGGTGTTGCTTGCCGACGCTGCTTGGCACTTTGCCAGGGGAGCCGGGTAGCGCTACCCAGCGCAATACGGTTGAAACGCAGCGTGCTGATGGTAACATTCAAGGCGAAAAAACAGTAATGCAAAACCACAAATCAAGAAAATCTCGAAACGGCTAAGCCTTCTCTATTGAGGGAACCATCAGAAGGCAAAATAAGTGTCAGGATCGCCAATCGGCTGACCATCAGGCAATGCAACTTGAAAATTTGCATGTTCTGGGCTGGGGATTTGTAACTGATCCAAGCAAAACTAAGGTTGCGAGAAGCATTAGAAAGCGTTCACGTGCGATTTTAAAAACCAAAAATTTTGCAATTTTGCGAAAAAAAAAACATGGAACTTGAATATTTGAATTTTACCTAACAATAGGTCGGATTTAGTATCTTCGGAAAATTGCTCGATATTCGGGAAATTGCTCGAAAAAAAAAATTATTTTCCAATTGACCCAGTCTGCTTTGCAAAATCTTGTAATAACTTACAGCCCATCATAGGCAGGAAGAGTAAATTTTCGGAAAATTTTATTAATATCGATCTCTAAAAAAAAGGTTTTTTGCATTTCAGTGCCACAAATATCTCCTAGCCAATGGAATCTCATTCTTTTCTTATGCAGCACAAATGGGAACAAAAGAATTGGCTAAGAAAACCTAAAAAAATTGAATCAGCTCTATTCTGGAACTATGCCAGCTGGCATACTTGGAAAAAACAGCTGATTCACTTTTCCCAAAGAACTGTCCGGTGGTCAGCTTGCTGGCGATCCTTATGTCCATGAACCTCAAAACAATAATTTATTAAAATCTCGAGAAAATTCTCACGCTGCATGGTGCCTCGATAATGAATCACTCGTCCTTCAACAACCACCACAACGGATGGTAATCGTGAGATGCGCAGCTTTTCCAACAAATTTCCATCAGTCATTGCATTTACTGTACCAATACCATAGCCTACAATCAAACACTTTACGGTTTCTGTTTTTTTGCTGATAAATTAATAGGCCTTAAGTTTCAATTGCAACAGTATGGATACGCTCGCTGCCGGCACACAAATCAGTTTTACTTTTATTTCTACCTCTGCAACAGTTATTTTCTGCCCTGTTACCTCTACTTCCTTCCTTTCTACCTTCATCTTTCTCCGGAAAATCACATATTCGTTTAAACATGGCGGAATGGGGCACTGTACTGATGATTCCCACCCCCATTCCGCACCGGCTCTGCCGTCTGTGATTACAGTTCAGGGATGAAACACACAGGGGACAACAGCTAATGCACATACAGGCTCGCTTATCTGGGTATCTAAATTGGCATTTCCTGTTTTCCCACAACTGTCTAGATTCGACTGTGTCCCTGTCATCGACGGGCCTGTAGTGCCAAACAAACTTATATAGTTTGCACCTTAAAAATTTCCAAAACACTTGCTAGCGAAACCATAAACCATTCAAAAATAGCAATTACACCTACACACATGCACATACATTCACACCCACACACGTACATACACCCTTACACACGTACACCCACCCGTACATACGCCCACACATATACATACACATCCACAAACACATAGACCCGCAAATGTATACACCCACAAACACGCATACACACATACATCCCTACACGCACATACACCCATACACATACATCCACGTATACATGCACCCACGCGCACATACACCTACACACACAGGCACACCCACGCACGCATATACATCCATACGTACATACATCCACACACACAGCCACGCGCATATACACCTACACACACCCACACACATGGCCTACACCTGCACGCACATATACCCACACATATACACCCGCACACATACACCCACACATGTACGTCCACACACACATACACCCATACACACGCATAACATACATCTACACTCACACACACACACAGACACCCACGGACACATCCACGCGCACATACGCCCGCACACATACACCCGCAAACACACACGCGCACACCCACATACATATAATCCACACGCATACACTCACACATATCCACAAACATACCCACAAACACACACCCACGCGTACACCCACACACACGTGCATACACACACCTACGCACATACACACACGTAAAAACACAAACAAAAACCAATG